GGCCAAGTGAAGCTAGCAGACATCATGAAAATGTTATAATGAAAAATCATAGCCCTTTAAAGTTATTGGCAAATGGATCTATTAATCCTATAAAAAATACAGTGTACCATCTACATAATGTTTGGAGGAACTTAAATTTTGGTTCCATAGATGCACCATTAATTAAATTGAAAGAAAATATTGAATTGTATAATTTAAAAGGTGTATTGATAGTAATTAATAGGCATTTCAATTATGTAACATAATGCTCACATTATTTATGGTGAGCATTATTCGAGGCCCTTAAAATCATAGTGGTGGAAGTCACATTTTTTTGAAAATGTCCAAACAATGAAAATATTACTTATTATATTTATACCATAATGGCCAATATATAATAGAGCATTAAATATAAATATTTATGAATTCATAAAACATTTATTATTATTTATTAGGAATTTCAGTAAATATAATGGAGGAAACATCTAATTGGGTTATTCTTGTTGCTACTCCAATAATGAAAAGAGCCCAAATGTTAAATTCTTCAAAAGAAATTATATTTTGTGATAGCAGTAGCAGCTGCGATACATTGGAAACTACTATCACCATTTTATTGACTGTCACTAAAGCTGGAGCAGTACCTATTGCTCTATTATTACATCCAGGACAATCCACTGAAAGCTATAAATCAGCTTTTAAATTTTTAAAGTTAATTCACCCCAAATGTTTTGGAAGCTTCAATGTGAGTTTAATATTTATTTATTTATTATAAACAATTATTAATAATTATTATTATACTAATTGACTGTTGTTTATAATTTCAGGCACCGGATATTTTTATGACTGATGATTCTGCTGCTGAAAAACTGGCATTACATGAAGTTTGGCCAACTAGCAAACAGTTATTATGTCACTTCCATGTAGCCCAGAAAGAATGGCGTTGGTTAACTGACTCAAAAAATCAAATTTCCCAGGACAAAAGGCAGTTTATGATGGAATATTTTAAAAAAGTATAAACAATAAATACTACACATCTAATTAGTCTAAACCTGACATTTATTAATCATCAGTATCAGGGCAGGGCAAGAGGGCATAGACCTGGGGTGCAGTTCTAAGAGGGGCACAAATTTCAATTCTACATAATATCCTATAGCACTACATTTGTGAGTTGGATTTTTTAAAGACATTTCTTTATTGCTTAACAATGTATTCTTTTTTTATGTAATTGGGCTAGACCCATTTAAACTTAAATAATATCAAAAAATATGAATAACTAGAACCTATAATAAAAAATAGCCTGATATACATTTTGACTTACATTTATGCCCTATTATTTTCTTTGTATATTTGCTAAGTGTTGAATATTCAGCACTATATTGACTTACACACAATACAGATAAGTAGTAAACAAATAGTAGTTGATTTAAAATTTAGTTGGTATAACTTTATAACATTATTAAC